AGAAAGAAAGAAAGAAAGAAAGAAAGAAAGAAAGAAAGAAAGAAAGAAAGAAGACTAGACAAAGATTTACTAGAAAAACTCCTCACCACAAGGAGGCTGTAATAGAAGAGAGTTCTCTAGGTAAGAAAAGTGTCAGTCGAAGACATTAGACTCTGTCATTGTAGACACAAAGCTCAGTCTTGGTGGCATTATTAGCATTAATCATCATGGTGGCCATAAGAGCAAATGTTGCAGGCTTGCCACTGATATAGCACCATGCTGACTTTACAGACTATCTAATGGAGTCTAAGCAGTGAAGTGTCACATACACGCTGTTGCCTTTGCCCCCCTCATTGGCACATGAGTACCTTAAGGCTCAGAGACCAGAAACATGCTCTATCACACAGCTAAGCTGTCTTTTTGAGAGAGCAGGATGCTTTGAAAGACTCCATCCATCTTTCATCCATGATAGAAGACAAGAAATGCCTGCAGGACAGCCCACCTCCAGGAGAGATGGGAGAACCAAGCTGGGACTGCACAGGAGGTCATCTGAGGGAGCCCCTGGCATTGCTCCATAAGTAGTAGGTTATCTACTTACCCGGAACTGACCACCACTGCCATCATCCAGCTCCAGAATGTATCCGTCGGCAGCCACTGTGGACAGAGGGGGCTGTTTCCAGGACAGTGTAGCGCTGTTGTTGTGGGTGCAGCACTCCTCCAGCTGTAGGATGGGGGTCGCTGGGACTGGAGAGGAAGCTAAACAGAAATTAGCGCCACTCTAGCTTCTGTTGAGTTACAGTGGTTTCACTATCTTTTAAGAACAAGCTTCCCCCTCATAAGCAAGTAGTCTCAAAACACACACACACACACACACACACACACACACACACACACACACACACACCATACCACACCTGTCTCTCTTCCCATCCATCTATCCACCCATACATTCACTAGTGACCTTCCAGATCTTATGCCCATCAACAGGAGCAGCAGCTGTGGATTTTGAAATTTGGTATCAAGTGACACAAGCCATATCAGACTGGAAACTTCTGAAACACATGACGTTATATTCTCATGGCAGCTGTAGCTTGGGACAGTGAGAGGTAAAGTTCACCTGTTTTTCAGGTATAGAACAATTTAGATGTGAGCCCAGGGACACAGGAACAGATCTGAGAGTGACAGGAGGCATTTGGTGTTTTCAAGTCTTGTGAGAAGTGACTAGCAACGCTCTATAATTTAGACTGATCTTTTAGACTATTTAAAACTACAGAGTAGCTGAATCTTCAGACACATGGACATAAAAATTCTAGTTGACAACCTCTGTTCCCAACACAGGAACTCAATATACATAGCTAAGAGAAATGTTTTAAGCAAATATTTTTAATTTGAGTATTTATTTTTATTTTATGTGTGTGAATGTTATATATATGCACCTCTTGCATGTCTGGTGACCATGGAGGTCAGAGGAAGGTGTCCAAGTATCCTGGAATCAGAGATACAGACAACAATGAGCTACTGCATGGGTTCTGGAAACAGAACTTAAGTCCTCTCCAAGAGCAGCAAGTGCTTTTAATCACTGAGCCATCTCTCTAGTCTCTTATCAATATTAAAAAAATATGGGCTGGAGAGATGGCTCAGTGGCCAAGAGCACTGACTGCTCTTCCAGAGGTTCTGAGTTCAATTCCCAGCAACCACATGGAGGCTCACAACCATCTGTAATAGGCATCCGATGCTGTCTTCTGGTGTGTCTGACATAAGACATGAACTAACTAACTAACTAACTAACTAACTAACTCTTTAAAATAAAATAAAATAAAACCAAAACCAAAACAACAAAAAGAAAACGCCAGAACATACTCCAAGATTCCATACTTTAATTACAGGAGAGCACTTTGGAATTCAAGTTTGGGGACATTGACACACAGATGTTAATTATGGAACATGTGGTATGCTGCACCAACATGTGACTTGGTGTGTCATGCACTGAGTTAAATATGTTCCTGTTAGTCATTCCAACCAGGATTGTTAGTCATTCCAACCAGGATGGTGTTGATTTGACAGCAGTTCAGAAAACAGGGTCTATGGTGGGTGACCTAGGAGACAAGAGCAGCTTCAATGTACATGATGCAAAAGTGAGAGAGGCCACCTTATGCTTAGGAAAGACTTCCAATGAAACCAGATTCAGGCTGCTAAATCAAGCATTAAATAAAACAACTTAGGGAGCATCTCACTCAAGATGATCATTTCAGAACAGGTAGTCCTGTTTCAAGTTTCAGTGGTGTAGGGCAGAATCTTCTAAGAGACCAGTGGCTTCTGCAGTCATTGGGTGCCCAGAGCATCTGAATTTGGAGAAATGTAAAGAGACTCTTGCTTTGTTCCATAACAAATTCCAGGACTCCATGGAAAAGGAGACAGAGACATAACTTTAAAAGGCTGTATAAGCACCACGCAGAGACAGGCATCACTTGGATATTGCTGAGGGTTAGTTTGAAGTCTATTCATATGCGAAGCTTTTGTTATTAAAACTATGTTTCCTTTATAAATGGAGTACATACTTTATGTTTATTGTGGAATTTAGCCAAATGGTTGATCTAGAGATGTGAATGAATCTTCCTAGTATAGTTACTCTGTTAGGTGTATCGTGAACCCACTCCTTGGACTGTCTGTCTCATCAGCTACATATAAATCTTTCATTTTAATTCTTTGATGCTGGGAGCAAATGTACACTTTATCAATTACAAAATCAAAGAATAAAAGCATGAAATGATTTCAACTTAAATCATACAGATCTCTGTAATGTCTGAGAAGAAACTCAAATCTTCCTGTTAGACAAAGGGCTTCATTGAATGGTTAAATGAAATTCATGATGATACATGGAATTAAAACACCGGGGGTTTCTTTTGAGTCCCCAAGAGGAAGACTGTAAAAAGAAACAAATAACTTGGGGGAAAAAACCCGTAACTAATGCTCAGGTCTTGATTTTGCCTCATATTTAAACAGTAGGAAAATGACCAAAGTGGGTGGGGATGGGGCTGCACAGAGACAGTGGCATGTCTAAACAGGACACTTGCTTGTCTGAATCTGTTTCTCCACATGCTAAGAATTAGTTTTTCTTTTTCCATATTTACCTATTTCTTATTCATCATAGATGATACTGTATATAAAAAGCAAGTATGTCAAGGTTACAGCCTTATTGGCTAAGGTTTGGATTGACATGTAGAAAAATAGATTTTTTTTTTGTTTTGTTGAGACAGCATTTCTCTGTGTAGCCCTGGCTGTCCTGGAACTCACTCTGTAGACCAGGCTGGCCTCAAACTCAGAAATCTGCCTGCCTCTGCCTCACAAGTGCTGGGATTAAAGGCGTGCACCACCACTGCCCGGCTGAAAAATAGATTTCTAATGGTGGATGTTTTGTTACCCTATTTTACTTTATTAGGTGTGAAATGAATAGGAAATGCAAATTCTATAGGAATTTCTATAGGAAATGCAAAGAATTTTTCAATCATTCTGTATTTTATGGATTGGCTATGGATATAGCACAGCAGTTTCTGGGATGATGTTGAGGAATGCTTTATTTTATTGAGACATTTATGTCTGGGGCTTCCCTGACTGTTTTAGTCTTTGCACCTGTGTTTATTCTGAGACATCTTTGGTTTTCCCTTTATAATGGGTCTCTCCTGGTTAGATCACAATTGCAGCATTTAATGTCCTCTTGGCCTATAAACACAAGCTACGGACTGAAAATTCTCCTGGATACAGTGTGCTTCTGTAGCGAATGTGGTGAAAGTATGGCTTGGAGCTATGTTCTACAATGGTGCTTTCTACCAATGTCTTCAAATCTCATCCTTTGCTCTCTCCTTATTTAACTCTTCCTATAATTCTTCAGGTCATGAACACTGGCAACCCTCTAGAATTCCCTTGTAGAATGTGCTGGAATGTGGTAAGCAAAGAAGGATGCTGACTCCTCACCCCTACACAGACCGTAAACCATAAGGGGTGCTTTGTGAATACTCAGGGGCTGTAAGAGGCTCACATGCATTCACCTATGGGATTTTTCAGAGCCACCTTCTTCTTGTTTCTGTTTCATAGACAAGGAAGCTGAAAGCCAGAGAGGCTAACAAGTGGTGGGACTGGGGTCTGAAGCCTAGCAGAATGGTTCTGAGGCTGTGGGCTTGGCACATATCAGCTGTTCCTGAAGTTGGGGCTCAGGAATTTTGAACTAGTTGATTGTTTTTGGATGGCAAAAGTCCCAAGCATTACTGTAGTCATCGTTGCTTCAACTAAGAGCTGGAGTGTCAGGAGCTCCATTTTACAGCCTCCCCTTCTCTGAAGATTTACCTGTCGAAGGTTTACCATCCATTCCTTTCTACAGTGGCCGAACAATAAAAATAGCGGTTAAGTTTTAGAGTAGAGGTTCTCAATCTGTGGGTTGTGACCCTTTTGGGTTCATATATCAGATAGTCTGCATCACAATTCATAACAGTAGCAAAATAACAGGTATAAAGTAGCAATGAAATAATTTTATGGTTGGGAGGTGGAATGACACTACAACCTGACGAACAGTATTACAGGGTCACAGCATTAGGAAGGATGGGAACTACTGGTCTAGAGGGAATGTAGGGCGTTTCTAGAAAGTTATCCCTGATCCACTGAAAAGGATGGCAATCATACATGTTCTGAGGACATTCATTTCAGCCCCCAAACCTCTGCATGTGAACAGATAGCCTGTACATATATGTGTGTCCACCTGCCCCTGTCAGCCTTCTCTTTCCCTGTGATTCAAAGGAGAGTCTGCTCAGATCACTCTGTCCTTGCCTGTGACCTTAGAATATATCAAGGGATGTTGCATTCAAGAGGAGTTAATGAAGATTAATATATCCCCAAGGGACGAGAGGCACTTAAAAGAATGAACAATTATTCAGTCTATGTGCTGAGAGGTGGGTGTAGCTTTAGGTCAGGGTTAGGTTAGGTCCTGGTATGAATTTAACAAGCAAGCATTTGATTTTAACAACATGACTTAGATGCTCTCTGTGCTCACATAATCCTAGCGTAACAGTCTTCAAAGAAAGTAGATGCTTTAAACCTATTCTCACCCATACAGCAGAGCCCTAGGAAGACTACAAAAAAACTCTCAAAACTCTGTCCCCAAAACCCAGGAAAAAGTTGACATTATTACTAACTCCCCCTTCCTCCTGCCCTAGGATCATCAAGGTGGGCTGGGGTTTCTCCTCTTCCACCAAAAACCTTTGCACAGCTCTTTTATGATATATTTCCTCCTCCACACTACTTGAGAGATAGCTTTTTAATGGTTTTATTTTGTTGAAAGGACTGGAGATAGACAGAGGCTGGCTGGGAGGAGTTAAGCTGGGGCTCTGTGTTCTTGCAAGAGATGGTTCAGTGACTATGCCACACACACACACACCACACACACACACACACTTAAATGTATAAAAGGAAGTTGGCAATTTCTCAAAGAAGCTACACTGGAAGGTGCTAGTTTTGTGTAAAAACTTGGAAATGGCACTAGTGTATTTTGAAGCTACTTCCTCTGGAGTGGATCCTTGCCCCATCCTTTGTCATAACATAGGCTTCCTGTACCTTGGTGTCCTCAGCTGTAAGAATGGAGGTGACAATAAAATCACCACTCTCTGGATAGTGAATGGTTTGGTTTGCATTCCACATGTGCTCCCGTTTATTTTTTGTTGCTACAACACAACATTTTAACTTACAGCTTACACATCACGTTAGACATTGGCTAAGGCAGTATCTCAAAGCAATACCTATCAATAAAAAACTGAGGAAACTTGAGAGACCAAGAGTGAAGGACCATGAAAAGATGTATGAGTGCCCAACACACGCATGAGTTCACCCACACACTGTTAGCCCTAATGGTATTGAAACTTCTCTGGTTATTGGATTCTCTGCGTGATAAGCAGAAACAGGTAGATTTTTTTTCTAACATATACAATTTGCAAAGCATCTACTTTTAGGATTTATTTATTAAGTGGATACTTAAGAGGTGAAGGATGTAAATAAATCTCTTCAGTTTTAAAAAATTCTACTTTTATTTTTAATTATATGTACATGTGTGGGTTTGCAATGTGAACACAGTGCCTAAAGAGGCTGGAAGATGTCAGATCCTCTGGAGTTGGAGTTTCTGGCAGCGGTGACCCACCTGACTGGGTCCTGGGAACCAAACCCTGGCCCTCAGCCAGGGCAGCAAGTACTCTTAATTGCTAAAAACCCCTGAAAAGTATTATTTTCATTTTTGAATTGCTTGAAGGGTTTTTATTTACTTTGTTTGAGACAGTATTTCACCATGTAATGCCTGTTGGCTTGGAACTTGCTATGTATACCAGGCTAGCCTAGAACTCACAGAGATCTGCCGCTGCCTCCTGAGTGCTGGGATTAGACAATGTGCCACCATACCTGACCCAATTTCCTCAGTTTTCGTGTGTTAATATGGTAGAGTTGGAGGACAGAGACATAGTTGTCAAGGGTGTGTGTGTGTGTGTGTGTGTGTGTGTGTGTGTATGGGATGGTGTGGTGCAGGTTTCCTTTCTGTTTTGTTCTTGAGGTGGACCCTTACTATGTAGTTTATGCTGGTCTGAAATCAAGATCCCCCTGCCTCTGCTTTCTCATAGCTGGGCTTACATATCTCCATCTTTTCACCTGGCTTTGGAATAGGTCTTTGTCTTGACTGTGTTGTTAGCTGTAGGAATCTACATATGTCATGTCACAGAATTATCCATGCACTCCACCAATGTAAACTACAATTATTTTGTTACTGTATTGTAGCTATATAGAATGTAACCACGGAGTGGGAGACAGGAAGGGGATAAATGGTACCAAGGACCCCTTCTTACTATTTTTGCAGCTTTCTATGAATGTATTTAGAGATATGAAGCTATAAAAATCAGAAATGGTCCTCAGCGGATGGATGACTCAGTGCCATAAATACCACTGCATCACAGGCTTGGATTTTAATTGTAAGTACTTTCATTTCCTTTTGGTGCCCAATGTAAAAAAAAAAAAAAATACAAGAACAAAACCTTCAAACACCCAGCTTGCTCTTCCTACCCCACCAGAAGCTTTCATTTCAATGCTGAATTTCCTCAATATTTGACACTATTTGGGGGTCACTTCTTGAGGGAAGGTCTCAGCTATACACAGTGGCATTGTAAGTGCCCTCAGATGCTGGAGGTGGGCACTACAGGTAAGCTGCCTGAAGTGGGGACTGGGAAACGAACATGGGTCCTCTGCAAGAGCAGCAAATGCTCCTTTTCTTTTCTTCCTCTACTTCTTCTTTCCTTTTTAATCTTTGATTCTCATTCTTCTTTTTTAGACATCTTACTGTGTAGTCTTGTCTGATTTGGAACTTGTATGTAGACCAGGCTGGCCTTGAACTCACAGAAATCTGCCTGCCTCTGCCTCCTAAGAACTAGGATTATAGGAGTGCACACCATACCCAGCAGCAAGTGCTCAAAACTGCTGAGGCCATTCTTCTAGTCTCACTCTGGATGCTATAACCTTCATCACAGTGTCATCCACAGTACTTCAAGCAGTAGCACCTGCTCAGGACAGTGTGCTGACCCTGGGGACACAAGGACACACCTTTCACTTGCATGAAGTCCAGCTGGTGAATGGACTGCAGCAGAGGGCTGTTGTCCAGGCTCAGGTCAAAGTCCGTGGTCATCCTGGGCGTGAGTGTGCCTTTTCCCCACTGGTCCTCAGTTAAGTGAACTCGCCTTATGAGGGCATCTGAAATCTAAGGACATCAAAGAAACAGAATGTCACCTTCAAACCACAACACTGCTCCTGACTCTCTGTGAGTATTACCACCAAACTATGAGGACCTCAAGCTCTTCCCGTCTCAGCATGCTTGGTGAGAAAGACTTCAGTGTGACTAGAGTGTCCCAAAGTTTCTGAAGCAAAGCGGAACATTTTTCTCAAATTAGAAGGAGGCACTATAAACAATTAGCACCTGCTAACTAATTTTACATGATATATGCTCATGCATTTATTATTGAGCTTGCAAATGCTGTCAACCCTAAAGAACATGGTACAGTGGGAACTAGTTTATTCTATGGAATCAACAGCTCCACCCTTCTGCTTTAAGGTGTGGGCAGCCAGACAAAATTCCAGAACTAGGCCTGCAAGCCAGAGAGGCTGTTCCACATCCCCGTACAGCTTCAGTACACTATCTTCATGTGGCTCTCTTAACTCTTTGGAAGAGACCTCTTTCATGTCTTATGTTTGGCCCCATCTGTCACTCTCAGCTGGTTGCAGAATGTGAATTGGAAGAGATCTACATGTCCTAGGTTGGTTAAAAACAAAAAACAAAAAACACCTTGTCATTGGTATCAAAAATGCAAGCAAACCCCAGCTTACACCATAGCACTTTACAACTGACAATGGAAAAAGTCCCAAACAAAGCAACCTCTCTAGTACCACTGGGAAAAATAACTGGTTTACTGAGCAGCAGGAGGAGGAGGCAGCAAGGAGGGAACATTCACACAGACTTCAGCTGACAAAACTGCTCAGAAGCATGAGGGAGAAGGCCCAATCCTCAGGCAAGACAATACTCACTTCTTTGGAAGAAAGTACAGAGAATTATGTTTTCATGATTAAGCACAAGAACAAAAGCCCCCAGTACCCCCTTTCAGCCCATGTTCCTCTTAGACTTGAAGCATAGGATGTTGGAGACTTCCAGGAAGTCAGCAGAGTTCTGCAACAGGCTCACACACACTCCCTGAGTATGCAGGTTCGGTCCACTGACACACAGTAAGCCAGACTGCAAGATGCCCCATCTATGTGTCCTACACTTGGCACTATGGGATATCTGGAATAGGAAGCAGAAGCTTGTAAACCAACCTGCAGAAAGCCACTGGGGTCGTTCTCCTTAATCACTTCCAAGCAGTACTCCATGAGGCCCGTGGTTTGGCGCAGTTTCACTGTGCAATGAGAGATCTGGTCCCGAACCACCTAAGGTTGGCAAGAGAACAGAAAGGTGGGTGCAAAATGGCAGAGGGAGTCACTCACAGTCGAAGAGAGGCACACTGGGACTTTGGAAAGCTCCCTCAAAGCAGAATCCAAGCTCATCGTGGAAATGGATCCACATGGAGGAGAATAGTGTGTGCTGCTCTCTGCATGGACAATGTCTCTGGAGGACAGATAAGTGATGTCCTTACAGGACATTGCTATTGGGACCCTTCAAAAAAGGTTATGGAAGTCAGAATATTGAGGTTAGAACTCTGAATCTGATGATCTTGGCACATTAAGGTCTGGTACGGGACCTTGCAGACATTTTTCTCTGTAACATTGACACTCCTGTGACCTGTCACAGCTCCTGGGAGCTGTCAGTAATGGAGGTATAGCTTCCACGTGGGCAACTGCATGGCTACTGGCTGCACTCACCCTCTTTCCTGGCCTGCTGTTTCTTCTAAAGGGTTTCTCCACTTGAAACTCAGGGGCATTTTCCTTGTTGCTACCATCAGTAAATGCTACTGGCTGTGTAAACATCCCAGTTAGTAAGATAATAACAGGAATAATAATAATTATCCTTACTCCTCTGTTACAAGCCATGTAATGCCCCCATAGTTTTCTATCTACCCATTTGCTCACTTATGGCTTTTATTATTGTGTTGTGATACTTTATGATGTACATGTACTAGAATAAGGATACCATTCAATACTCTAAAGTTTTCTAAAGTTTTTTTGTCTGCTTTTAAATGTTCCTTCTTAAGGAAAGTTGATTTGGGGGCTTGATGCTGTCTGAGTGCTGACTGTGGGGCTCTTTGCCTACTCCTGAGAAGCTTTCGTTCTGCCTAAGAACTAGTGATTCTCCAGCATGCAGAGCAGGGATCGGCTCCTCAGCTGCCTCTCCTTAGGACTGATTTTGTCTTGTTACATTTTCATCAGCCATCCCACCAGTCAGAATAGTGATGAAAAACACTGCTAAAAATGAAGTCAAACAAGGTTCTCAGGATGCTGATTTTTGTGTGTACTGTCATTGACTTCTACTTTCTGAACTGATATTTCCTACCTTATGGAGATCAACCAAATAATTATATCCTTTAAGAGTATAATTATTTTGTAAGGTCTAAAAATCGTATTTAATTTTTAATTAAAAGTTTTGCAGCCAGGCAGTGGTGGCACATACCTTTAATCTCAGCACTTGGGAGGCAGAGGTAGGCAGCTCTCTGAGCTTGAGGCCAGTCTGGTCTACAGAGTGAGTTCTAGTATAGCCAAGGCTACACAGAGAAACCATGTCTCAAAAAACCAACAAACCAAACCAACCAATCAACAAACACTTCCCCCCCCCAAATTTTTTTTTAAAAATTCCAAACCTCAAAATTGCATGTATGTGTGTGGTGTGTATGCATGTGTGCATATATTCATATGTGTAAACCCGTGTATATGGAAGCCAAAGGTTGATGTCAGGTGTCTTGAGCCCAGAGATCACCAATTCAGGTAGTCTAGCTAGCTTGCTACCATAAACCCCACTGTCTGCCTCCCAAGTTGTTACCATTAGGAGCCAGTCACCACACTCACCCAGCATTTATGTGGGTGCTGGAGACCTGAACTCTGGTCTTAGTACTTGCACATCAAAGTACTTTATCCATTAAGCCATCTCCCCAGCCCAATGAGGAGTATGTATTTTACACTCTAGTCAAGTCTTTTCTCAGCTTGCTTACCCATTAGCTTTCTGCTTAGGCTGTTCTTCCTACTTTTTATTGCTTGTCGTTTTGTTGAAGTTGGTTCCTAGGAAACAAGGATATCCTCCTTCCCCTTTGAGATACACATTTTTGTACTTTGATGCTGGTGACCCAGAAAACATTTGGCACTGTGTTTGCAGCTGGCAGCAGTCAAATCCCTTTCCTTGGGTACTGTGCAAGTCACAGGAGTGACAGAAATAGGTCCTGGGAGAACAGTCCCCCGGCTTTTATGTGCACTAGAAACTAACCTAGTTCCCATGGGACAGTAGATTTGTCTGTAGCTGATGAAACCAGGGGAAGCTTTGAGAATTTTACTGGAAGAGTAATTGTCTCAGCAGGACCTATTGATCATTTGACCAGTTTTCTTTCGATAAATGGCAAAAGTAATAAGGGTCACCGCTTGGGTCAGGATGTGACACCTGCACCTGTTTGGAAAAGGGGCAGTCTAACAAGGGTCTGTAGTTTCCCTGAATTCTTGGCCTTTTTCAGCAGCCAAGAGCCACCCAGGAGACTGTGTATACACATGGGTAGAGCTTGCTCTGACCACTCTACATCCCCATTAATGACAGGCCCGTTACAGTATTCCATCAGCTCACATGGTATAACTCACAGCGAGGGTTCCACTCTTTCTTATCTAAGTTTGAGCAAGGTAAGTTCCCACCCATGGCTTCCATTTACTTCTCCATTTTCCATGTGTTTGTAATTCTTTCTCTTTATTTATAAGAACAAACAGCTTTGAATCACACTCCTCTTGTGGATGCTGGAGGGAGATCACTTATAAGTCACCAGTCTGAGTAAATGACAATGTTCTATTTCACCCTTTTCTAAATGTGATCTATTATTTTTACCCCAGTTTAACACCCGTACCACATAGGTAATCACATATAATCCTTTAGCCCTTCTTGCTTGTTCTTTTCTACCTAAGGCACATATGCTTTCAAAATTCAAGCTTAAAGAATTTACTCCCCACTGTATTTTGCTCCCAACTGTTGGTGGGGAAATTTCTGTGCACCTAGCCAGGTTCTGAAGCACAGCAAGCAACTGAAGTTGCTCTGAATGATCTCATGGGGAGTGACAGGGGAAGTGCCCTGGTTTGATTTGTTTGATTAAACAGAAAGCCCTAGGGTCCCCCCCCCAAGTGTATTATTTATAATTTTATTCTTCAAAGAATATATATTCTTCAAAACTTGGAGAAATGTAAGTTAAAGAACAGTACTGTATACCATTACTCGCCCACAGGGTCTCAGACAAATGGTTTTTCTCTGTCTCCAATTCCACACTCTGTATGAAGCACTGGGTTCACCTGACAACAGTTTTTACAAAGACAAGTTTGAAGCTTTGAGAGTTTTTACTTGAGAAAAGAATCATTTAGGGCTACTAAGCAAGCACAATACACACATGCTTTGAGAGCTTGGGAGTTTTAACAGTAAATCTGTGAGTTGTCTATTCTAAGGTGTGAATGCCAGCAGCAGGCTAATGGATGATCACAGCGTGGAATATGCGAAGCTTGGTGTAGAGCAGACTGTATCCTAGCACAGAGAGGCTAATGGAGGAGGAAGCCCACACACTAGGAGGAGAGGAATCGGGCAGCATTCTGTCCATGCAGGAGAGTGTTTACCATGGGGGGGGGGGTGGCTACCACAATGTAGAATCTTGCAGGATACAATGCAGAGCTGACTAGGGTTATTCTGTCATCTCCATGGAGTGAGTCACATGGAATCTAGAGACAGGAGGCTCACTCGTATCTGGGTGATGGACATCAAAGGCAATCTGAGACTGCCCTTCACTGGCATTGTCAGAGTTGGGGTATTAAAGTGTGCCTCTTACTCATGGGGAGCCCTAACTATGTGTGTGTGCTGGCATCTTGATGATTCTTTGGGGACAATGGGAACTCTATCTACACAGACCTTTTCAGATTTATTCACACATGAGAGGCAGAGGACCATAGAACTTACTAAATGAAACTCTGAAAGATATTCTGCATTAATTACGGGCTTAAATCAGTGATGCTTGCAGTTACAATATTAGTGTTAACCCCTCTCAACTTTGGCTGAGTAAAGATTTCATGCTATTCCAGGTGCTTAGGTTTTATACCTTCCTTTCAATATTCAACCAATTATCTGCATTATTTTATTGCATTCACCAGACTGGGCAGGTGCTCAGCTGGAATTAATCTCTTTTTCTTATTGACACTAACTTTATCTAATTTAAAATTTACTTGTGAGTGTGGTTAAATTCTTTTCTTTCTCCCACTTCTTAATCAAAGGGGCATCTGCCTTCTGGGAAGCAATGGGGAAAAGCATATTATAAGCCAGGAGCACTCAGGATGTTTTCCTGTTTAGTGACATGACCATATGATAGATTTTAAAAAAAATAATGGGAATTATTCTAACAACACAATGGTACAGCAGCTCCGGAAGGGAGCCTCCTACATATAACCATGGTGGACATATAAAAGCCCTCTACCAATATAAAGTCTGATAATCAGCAAGCTTTATTATTACAACTTCACTGAGTGATTTTTTTGATACCATACAAGCACATTAAAGATTTGATTGCCCCTCAAATAATTTGAACAACTATCTTTGTTGCTTCCAAGGGATCTTATTGTTGGAAGGTAACAAGATGGTACATATAAGCTTGTACTATTCAACCTTGGATCATCCGAAAATGCTGGACAGAGAGATAGAGAGAGATAGAGATAGAGATAGAGAGATAGAGATAAAGATAGACAAAGAGAAAGAGAGAAAGAGAAAGAGATAGAGAAAGATAGAGAACGAATGTAAGGTGCTTTTAGAATGATTTCAATTTTGAAAGTATTTTAGACAACATTAATTCTCAAGTAATACTTTGAACTTCTCAAAAGAAAATGGAAATATGTAATTTTGGAAAATATAAAAGCATAGATCTCATCAATGGCACATTTTAATTTTGTCCGGGTTCCCTGGACAAAAGGATGTCAGGGGCAGTGGGGACAGTTTGAGGCTGTACCCAGCTGAGGAGGATCTGGGAAGGATGGTAACATAACATCTTGCTCTGCTGATCATTAGATCATTGCATAACCAATTCACTAATTCCACACACAAACTAGGACTATTTCTTAGGAGATCACAGATACTTTTTTCTAATGCCTTCCAGTAACTTGCTTCAGTTTATAGCATCCCAAACCAGACTCACAGCTCCCTGCACTTTTTCAAACCACAGAATAGCAGGAACTTCAATTAATATTTCAAACAGGCCCAAAATATGGGACTGTGCTAAGTACTCATATAATTTCCTATGTTGGATACTGTGATAAATGCTTTACCATGGTCTACAAGGTGCGAACAATACTCTATCTGCATTCTATCTCACACACAGAGAAAAGAAACTGAACCACAGAATTCCTCTAAGTTAGAGAGCTGTTGGTTACAAAGTATGACCTCTCACCCAATCTGGTCTCAGTAACAACACAGAATCTAGGCTTTTCCCCACCCGACTCCATCTTGTCTCCCTGGAGCCCTTGTGTTTGTTCAGGCTGGCAGTGCTGTAAGAAAGGGCATGAGAGAGTACCAAGACTCACAAATTCACACTGGCAGCCCAGCATCCCATGCCTTCTGAAGCACACACACACACACACACACACACACACACACACACACACACACAGCCTCTTTGTCAGCCAACAACAGCCCTTGGAAACAGAAGAACATGAGATTCCTGCCACACAGCTAACAAAGTGCTGTGCTTGTTGAAAATGTCTGTCCTTAAATGGCCAGTCTTCCGTCACAAGTCTCGGTAGTTACAAAAACAACAAGAAGGGGAACAGACAGGGACAAAAGAAGAGAGCCCATGGAGGCTGGTGTCAGTAGCTGTGGCATCTGTGGCACTGATGGCTGTTCTTAGAAGTGGCGAGAGATACAATTAGCTGAAAATGACAGACGAATTGTAGAGACAGAACAGCTTTGTTGCCGAGGGCAACGGCCAGCCTCCTGTCTCTTTTCATCATTCTCCAGAGTCTGAGCAGGGTGAAATGAGGGCACCAGTGTCCTCTGCCCAGTATCCCCGTGGCATCCATGTGGCCTGCAGTACAACCCTCCCTAACAGAAGGGCTTCCAGGGGGAAGATGAGGGCAGTGGAAGGGCATGGCCTGGGAGTGTGGTAGTCACCATTCCTGAGCATCTACTGTATCCTGAGCATCTAGCTACTACACAGACCATGATGAGATCCTCAGTCCTGACCATAGATGGAACCAAGTAAGGAGCACAGGGGCTGCCATTTACTCTGCTGTCTGCCGACATGACATAGATCAATGACACTTTTCCAATCTTTGATTTCTTTTTTCATAGATTGCTGGCCTCTGTTTCTCCCATACAAGACAGCTCTAGTCACCTCTACAGAGACTGCAAAGCACCACAAATACTCACTGTGGTCACTGTTGTGGTGCCAGTGCTTGCAATGTTTGATAAAAGAGACTCCATTGAGGAAAAAGGTAGGTACTGAAATGCCTGCCTTGATTCTCAGCTGGATGACTCCATCTGTCCAGCTCGTGCTCCAAAGACAGCCACAGTTTTATTCTACACATCTCTAGATAACTTGGATGCTATTTTGAAGCCATGTCTAGTGACACAAGTTGTGAGCACAAATATTCTAGAGACTAAGGCAGAAGCATTACAAGTTCAAGGCCTGCTTATGCTAGAGTGTTTTCAAAGCCAGCCTGGGTGATTCAGCAAGACTTGGTCTCAAAATTTTAAAAAGGAGGGAGTGTGAGCAGTGTAGATCAGTGGTAGAGTGCTTGTTTAATGTGTGTGAGGCCTTAGGTTCAATCCTCAATAATACACATACACACATGCATGCAAACTCCAAAATGCACAAGATATTCTGAGAATTGCTATAAAAGTAAATTTCTGCATTTCTATAGGGGACGAAAGGACAGGCTATATGACAGTCACTGAGCGGAGAATGGCAACAGAAACTCTCTATCAGTCTCAAGGACTGACTGACTGTCAAGATCACCATCATCTTCCCTGGCAGCCTTCCTGGTGTAGTGGCCATGAACACACACCTACAGATTAGGATGCCAACTCTCCCACAAGGTGTTCTACGACCATTATAGCTGTTGGTGGTTTTCCTTACAATGTCTAAGGCACTGACCGCTTCTCCCCAAGATGCTTGTTGGTCACTTATGCTGGAGTCATCTGGGTAATGCTCATTGCTTCTACTGTGTCCCTGCCTCCCCTGTACCGCTTTGCAGCACTGTAACCTATTGGCTGAGGAGAAATGCCTTCTCTGCATGAAACTTCCGCCGTGAGCAGTGGAGAGCTTTTGTTCAAATTTTGGGCTCTGTGGTTCCTTGGAGCCAGTTCTTAATTCATGGTGTCATCATTCCCTCTTCTCTGGAACAGGAACAACAGCGAGAGTGATCTCATAGAACTACTGTGAAAATTATTGAGACAATCCCTATAATATAACTTACATACTCTCACTGTAAAGAATTGTTCTTTCACTATTTCACTATCAGACTTTCACTATTGCTGTTATCAAAGGCAGGACCTGCCCACCCAGGATACTCTTCTATGTTACTGTTGGGTGACTGAAGAATCATGTACCACAAGTGGGTTGGACAAAACCTCAAATAAAAGCGAGTCTTTAAAAAAAAATCATTCAGACCTAACCCAACTCTGAGAGAAAATGTTTATCAAGCCATTTGGTAAACCTGTAAGAGAGATATACTTTTGCAACAGTTGTGGAGGGGAAAGGGGCATAGCATGTCTATGACTTCCCTCAGTTTCTCCTTGTATTTAAGGAATTCATACACAATCTGCCATGAATCACAGCTTGAGTTCATCCTAAGATGAACACGAGAGAGACTTCTCATTAGACACACCACCGAGTGTGTATGGCTGCTCTCAAATAAGCATCGGGATGGCCAGGCTTTCTTTGCTACCCACACAGGCTCTATAACTTTTGCATTCTGGAGACTCCTCCCCATCCCCATCCTAAATCTAGATGAAAATGCTGATTTCAAGATCTGCCATTCTGTTTACCCAAGAATCTGGCTCCTTGATAACATTGTACCATTGCTCTCTGAAAAACCCAAAGAGGTATGGCATCAGGGAGCCTGAGCTGGAGGTCAGGCCACATAGTTCACTAAGTGACAAGGCTTTCATGAGCCCTGACTGTTTGGAAGCATCGCCTGCTGCTTGCCTCAATTCTGGTGTCCTCTGGGTGACAATCAAAGTCAAAAGGCATCAGGGAAATGTTTTCATTCCCACTACATTGCCATTCTGACTTTGGTCAGAGAGGCAGCAGCTATGTATCTACGTATCTTTAAGGGACTGCAGATGGCAAAAGAGGGAGGGAACCTTAGGGAAGGAAGCTACAGTTGAGGGTCTCCTTCACCCTTGCCATGAACCTGGACACTGTGTTTATACATGTCTTTATTGTTGAAACTTCCTTGGTTCAGCTACTGGAATCTGAATTTAGAAATGATATTTGTCTTGTTCTTAAAGATCGAGTGTTAGGTAACTGACCTGCTGGGTAATATTTGTTACTGGGACATTGACCTATCACTTCCCTTGAAGTGGCCCCTGCATCTCCTGATGCAAATCCAATAGTCATCCTTGAAGGCACTTGCTTCTTCTACTTTAACCCCAGGGGGTAACTGCAAATGCTTCCCCTCACCAGGCCTGATGATTGTTGGCCACATGTGTGGTCCTTAGCTGAGCACCAACCACTGAACTCCCTTCTGCTCCCACTTCCTATCATACTGCTAGTGGGTGACAGGCAGGTTACCATGTCTTCAAGACCTGTTCTGTCAATGGTATCCGAGACTTATAATGCATTAATTTTACTTTGTAGTGGTAAGAGTCTATATTGAAAAGTCTACAAATAAATTTTACTTTTTTATTATTTTTAGAAAATATGTATTCTATTTATCTACTCAAGAACACTTTTTTTTTCTTTTGCTTATGTGTGGCCACCTTTATCTAAGCTTTCAATCCTGTTCTTAGGACTCGATATCCCCTTTCTTGCCAAAAAACAAACAAACAAACAAACAAAGCCAAAAAATAGCCTATGATATATTTCTCCTGGATGCCTTACTTAATATTTGCCCCTCCTGGGAGAGTAGAGCGAATACAAATATTTTTATTTATCTTGTTATTTCCATACTCATAGCATATCCTGGCCTATAGAAGTCAGTCAGCAAATTTTGGTTAGGAAACTGAAGGGGTAAATGGAGAATGAAGGAATGTGTCTACTCCTGTCTAGCTAGGCCATGTGGGTGAGGAATGAGATCCTCCTGTGACTGGCCACCATTGCCCTGGCAGGTTGGATGGTTGCCTCTCACTGACCCTAATGAACCACTCACCTTCAGCTTGTGCTCATGCTCCTTGTTGACCCGGGCCAGCAGCTGAGCCTTCCTTCGGTTTAGGGCATCAATGAGAGCATCACACTGGGCCACTAAGCAGGCTTCGAACTCCACACTGTTTTCCTGAACAAGAGAGCACACTTCTCAGGCACATGTATGGGAGCTCAGGTAGCCAGAGAAACCAGAGCACCCTAGTTCTCCCTGCTGAAGACATGGGAAGCAACTCTGTCCATAGAGTACACTGAATATTTCTTAACTACTAGTAAACTGTACTCTGTAGTGTAAACATTTTGCTTTAAATTTATATGTAAAAAAGATAGGTATTTGTTACTTAAATGAATTTTTATCAAAAGAAACCACCTCTGCAGTTTGAATTATAACAAGTACAATAAAGCTTTGGCTTGTTGGGTGGTACAAACGTTCTTCGATGGTATCTCTGCTCAGCTCTGCAGGCTGGAAAGAGGTATCTAGGAGAAAGAGGAGAGTCAAGGCAGGAGAAAAAAAGGATTACTAAACTTAACAGAAGAGAGAAGGGGATGACAAAGGTGTCCCCCCCCAATTAAACAATGAGCCAGTGCTGCCATCCAATGCTAACAAGTATACAATGGGCAGAAGTAGTTGTCTCTTGCATGAAGAAAGGCCACAATGGAGAAAAAAAATTGGTAACAGTATTTTCTTGTTATAAAAATCAGAAAAGAGACAATACCTTGCTGAGGCACAGGAGTTACATAGAAAATGGGAGGAGTGTGGTCCCATGGTATTTAAATCAAATGCTGGGTATAACATTTTTACTTGACTTGAATCCATATAGTTCTTTTAACTAGCAATTTGAATTTATAGGCATTTATTAAGGGTAATACACTGTGATACTTAATCCTGCCACTTCAAATACAGGGTCTTTGTTTCAGACAGCATTAGATTGAGCACCAGATCCAAGGATGCTAATTTCTGCTCTCCTGGCAACAGTCTGAATTCTCAGAGAAAGTCCTTTAAGAGGACTTTCACCATTTAAGAGCTTTCTGTACCCTGTGTAGGGTGTGGGTGGGGTGGAGAGGAGGGATCCTGCTCCTTGAAGACTGCTACTGTTTTCTTAGGGAAAGAACACTTTGCTCTGATGGAGAGGCAAGGCAGGGGGCGAGACAGCTCAGGGCTGCATAGTTTGTGCCAGCAAATGCAAAGAAAGGGCTGATTGATAAACTGTGTTGCTTTGGAAAACAGAAGGAAGTATACAAAACTCCCAGGGAATCAACAGTTCTAACATGGGTATGCACATAAAAACAGCAATGAAACCAGTGTGTGGTGCTCTGAGAGGCTGGCTGACATTAAAAATTCATTTCTGCTTTGACACAGTTCAACAGTCACTCGGAAAGCTGTTTCCTGAGGGCAGAGTTAAGGTTATTTCTAGGAAGTAAAGCTCAAAACACGTAAGAAGGTAAACAGTGCGGAAGGGTCATTGTTTTGGTGTCTCAAGCCTTTTGTGGTTTCTCCCTTCCAGCTATAGTAGGAAATGTATGCATTCTCAACTGCTGGCTGACCTGCTGGTCAGTGTGTCCACATAAACCAGTCTAAGGTATAGTTGTCAGGGGACTGAGTCTAGACAACATTCCAGTGTCTGAGAAGAGAAGAAAGAAGCGTTATGATGGCCAGGGAGAAAGGAAAGAAGAGAGAAGGAGAAGAGAGGGAGAGAAGTCAAGAAATGATTAGTTAATGCCCAGTAAAATGAGGCTTGGGAACTATTGAGTTTTAGAAACTGAGGAATAATCTGGGTTTCTCAGAGAAATAGGACTTTGTTTAAATGCATTGTAATAGTGAATCAGGGCCTCTGAGTGGAAGGCTGGAAGCACATGAGACAGACAACACTGGCTTGTGGTCAGAGGAGATGCCTCAAGATAGGGCATGTGTGAAGCTGGCCACCATGCATGTCTGCCAGTGTAGAGGAGACAAGGCAGAAAGAAAGAGCAATTTCCTCTGTGTCCCATCCCCAACCATACCTGGATTTGTTGCACCATGGTGCGGAGTTGCACCAGGAACTCCTTGGCTTCTTTGGCCCTATCTGACAATCCATTCAGTGCCTGGGAAAGCTGGCTCTGTGGAGAGAAGGAAGGAAAGCTTGAGCTGCCATCATGCAGGGCCACATGGGGGTTGCTTCAGAGTAAGAGGCTCCCAACCCCAGGAGCCATTAGCTTTCCTTGAGTCTTCTTGTTTGAGGTTGGGCCTTTGAGGTAACATGTAGGGGTGCGTTCTGGTAGCCAGGCAGGTAGTGCTTCCCTGGGCTCTTGAGCATTTTCTTCTCTGAAGCAGTAAAGGTTCCTGGCCACAGGATACTACCTAGAATGCCCTTACTTCATTAGTTAATTAATCATTTACTACATTTGTTAGGCATACAAAATAAACTAGGGAGCCAATTGATCTGATTCCTATTGTACTTAGTCCAAAGGCTTATTGGTTTGGGGAGTGCAGAGTAGAAATAATGAAGACGCTCAAGTGATGAATGAAGAAGGAAGAATTGGGATCTGGTGTCATGCTCTGGGGCCACAAAAATGTTAACCACAAAGAAAAAGGCCAGGAGGGCATTGCACCCGACCAAGGTCTTCCTTCTCCCAAGTGCACTTACTCTAGTCCATCCTACACCAGCCTCCTAACCAAGGCCAAGGCTCCTACGCCACCAAACTGCCTGGCAAAGTGCACAGGCGAGCACTGCTTTCCATCCTTGGCGTCTGCTGAGACAGCCAACGGCCAAAATGATAATCAGTGGGGCCTAGGTGAAGGTCTACCAGGAAGGGAGGGTCTAGGAAAGCTGTCGTGGTGTAGCTTCTCCTCTTTTTTTCTGCCTTTGAGGCAGATCGATATCTTCTGAAATCAATGCAGTAAGGATGGAGGGCTGAGGACACTGGGTTCTGGGTCAGCATCTAAAGGCTCCTCCATGCTTCCTGTTGGGAAGAATGAACTGCTACTTCAGTTCTGTACTGAGTTTTCCATTCCTTGAAGCAAGCCATTAGCAAGATATTTAGATTCAGGATGCCTTCTCTTAGCAGGCTGGGCAGACCCTTCTGTGGGCAATGACAGACCTTTCTCATTCTCCCTCCTTCCGGTGCCTTCTTGAAAGTCCAAAACCCATTCATCTCCTCAGCCAGTACAATGCCTTACTTCTTCTTTCAATGAAAAGACAAAAACCTCAAAATAGTATCTCTTAGTCCTGGGATTTTTTTTCTTATATTTATCTTATTAAATATGAAATGGGGCATTTTCTTTAAAATATGCAGGCCAAATGCTGAGAGGAAGCAATATAGGAGGGTAAGAAGGAAAACAGTAATCCTGTTAAATTCTGGCCCCACCCTTTGCTAAGTGGCCCTGAGAAAGCCACCTTTGTCTGAATTACTCCAATGGTGAAAGAACATTGAAATAATACTTAGTGGTTGGGCTCTGGCAAATACAGTGCTTTAAGGGAGCATTCATTATGTCCCTTTTCGTAGATGCTGCCAACTACTGGCTGTTTAAGGATTATACATAGTTTTGCCTCCCGCATAAAATGAGAATTCTACTTACTCTTGAGTGTGGGCATTGCATGAGTTACCATATTTCAAGGCCAGACCCTGTAAGTGCAGGTACATCCTTAATAAATGTTGGGTGGTTCTAACCCGTGTTTACTTTCTTCATTTCTGTGCACATAAACACCTGATGATGAGGGATTCAAAGGACAGACTCCTCAATTAAGATGCACTGGAAAACATCTTTGTTCACCTTTCCTTTTCTGTGTGTTCTGATCTCCAGAGAGCATGCCAGAACAACCAAAAGAAAGCACATAGTGAGTCCACCATTGTGAAGGGGCCATTCATCACTTTGTCACCGTGTCTTAGTGGTACCATCATTTAGGGGTAAATTTTCTCCTTAAGAACCATTTCCAAGATCCCAGGAAATAGAAGAAAGGGATTCTCCTTGGAAATCACAGCAATAAAATGAGAGACTGATTTTTAAAGGCAAGTTTGGTTTTCACTGTTATCCTTAGAACTCCTGTTTCTTACCTTCCTGGAGTGAGTGAAAGTCTGCTGGGCTACAGAGATCTTTTCCCTGTCTCCTTAGTAAATGTACTTAGAAGTTTGGAGTCAAGTTTATATGGCCACATGTCAGGGGCAGCCTTGCTTATACACTGAAGGCCTAAAATCAGCCATAGGCCTAAGTCAGCCTTCTAACACAAAGTCTTGGTCTCTGTGGAAAAACACTGAACAGATGGGTATAAGATCTTGTAAATAAGTAGCCTTGGTGGAAATTTACCAGCTTGGATAGTCATAGACCTTGTGGATAGGCAGTCTTGGTGGATAGTATCAACTTAGATAAGGACAAGTGAATCATAGGTAGAGTCATGGTGACCTGTTCCCTGAACCTTCACTCAGCCGATACCCTGTTCTGGAAGATATCTGTACACCCCCCCCCAACACCTACGCTCCTGCATCATCCCCTTCCCCACATTCTGCCTCTATGTGCATATAACCCCTGTGTGAAAAGTAAAAATCAACGGTTTGATCAGACTATAGACAAGTTGCTTATTCTTTGAGTTCACCTGTTTCCCCCATTCTCTCTTTCAGGTGATCTCCCAGGACTCTGTTCAATGCCCTGCTGGACAGGGCAAATGCACACACACATTAAACTACCCAATTTCTTTTATTTCAACCTTAAAATTTATCATGTCTGTGAAACGTGTATTATTATATAAAGTCATAAAGATTGGTTGACTGGCCACTGTTGCATACTTAGAAGAGGCTAAGTGGGGTCTGGGAAGAACTCAGTGGGAACAAACATGTACTCAACATCTATAGAAAAAGCCAGACTCAGTGGCACATGTCTATAATTCCAGTGCAAGAAAGCCAGAGATAGGATGAATCCTGAGGCTTGCTGGCCAGCTAGCCTTGCTGAAGTGATGAGCTGTAGGTTCACTGAAAGACCCTGTCTCAAAAAATAATATGGGATATGATTGAAGAAGTCACATCGGGTCTCTACATACATTTATATGTGCACACCCACATGTACAAGTGCACACACCCACTCAACACAAATAGGTACAAATACCCTCCCCCACAAATCTTTTAAATGTTATTTAGTAGCAGACAAAGAGTTCTGTCTTCATTCAGGATCTTATATGTCAGAGCAATAAGTGAGCAGAAAAAAATCATTTTTTCCCTCCAGATTCAGTCTTTTTGTCTCTGGCTAGTAATTGTTTGATATTTGATAAACAGCTATGTTAGAAGATAGAGACCTATAAACCTTCCTTAAGCTTTGTCCACTTGCAGAATTCCGCAGCAGGCAGTGGAAAAACCCCAGTAGCTATTTATCAGCAGAAAATGCAGTATTGTAAGGATTTATGTGTGCCATTTTCATAGGATAACTTCCTGAGCACATTTAGAAGCCATGTCTGATTAAACATTATTACTTATTGATCTGGTTTCCTTAAAACATTTTAATTATAGCCTGTGCTGGCAGAGGTGTTCTGTATTCAGGACCACAGAGCAGTGCTACAAATTTTCTGCCTGTGCACTGAAGGTACAAATTCATGATGTGAGTTTGCCTCTCAGCATCCTTGGCTGGACACAGTTTTGAGAAGGAGAAAGGTATGGTTCCAAAGCTATTTATAATTTTGGATTTCTTGGATATTTGTTTCCTAATTTGAGGTGGTTTCTGACAGTGAAGGAGAGTATTACCACGAGGCAGCCACAGACCCCCTGATGGATTTCTTGGCTCAGGACATGCTTGGAATAATCCAGGCCTCCCTAGAAGGAGGCACATTGTTTGAGTCAGAAACAAAGGGAAAAATCAAAACCAAAATCAAAAATCCAAAACCCAAACCCCATCTGCTCTTTCCCTCCCCACTTGCTTTTCTCTGGTCATATGGGCTGATTGTGTGTGAGTATGAAATGCTTTCATAAGTGTGAACTCGTCAGAGGAGGTGGGAGGCTCTTGGCTTTAGGGGAAGTTGTAGTGACAATTTTCACAGTTTGGTTTCTTTTAAAAACACAGAAATATTATAAGAATATGTTTTTATTTTAATCTGAGGTGTGGAATATGGGGCTACTTTAGATTGTCTACAGCAGCTGACTATGATTTGTCTCATGCTCTAACATGGGCATATTTTGCCAGCTGCAGATAGTTTCTGCAAGTGTGTGATGTTTGGAATTCTGGAGACTTTTCAGAGGGTATATAAATGCTAAGGGCCCCAGAGGAGGAATGAGTTTTTGGTTGTTGGTGGTCATGGTTTATTAAGTAGATTGGCAAAGAAGAAGCTAGAAGAAGAAGAGGATGAGGATGAAGAGGAGGAGGAAGAGAAGGAAGAGGAGGGAGAGGAGAGGAAGAAGAGGAAATTAGATATCATGATGTCGAAGATCAAACTTGCCTCAAGGAACTTGATGTCCCTAATCAGCAGCTAGTAGTCTAGCAATAACATTGTCCCCTTTCTCACCCCTGACTTTATTCAGGGATCTCTTTCCTTTCTTTTCTATCTCTTTTTCTCTTTTATCTAGTGTTAGGTTGTTGAAAGGGTGGAAGAAAGAAGAACCCATAAAGTAGCAAACACTAGCTATAGAAGCTACTGTCATAGAGGTCTTGTTGCTAGGGAACAGTAAATAAATCTTAGGTGAATCTGATTCTGAGCCATGTGTAGATCCAGGGATTATATATTATATAGAAACTTGCCCCAGGGATTACATATTATATACAAACTTACCTCAGGGTTTATATATTATCTGCAAACTTCTCCCATTGTCCTAACTACATTTCCCATTGCTGTGATTAAAAAACAAACAAACAGAAGCCCTGACACAAGTGACCTCTTCAAGGAGAAAGTTTGTTTTGGCTCTCAATTTGAAGGTACAATCTATCAAGGTCAAGGTGGCACAAGTTCAAAGCAGCTGGTCACACCGAATTGTGTGATTGTGTGAGTACCTCTACTCAGCTAGCTTTTTTTTTTAATTAAAACAAAAACATTTCTCTCTCTCTCTCTCTCTCTCTCTCTCTCTCTCTCTCTCTCTCTCTCTCTCTCTCTCTCTCTGCCTGCATATACACATATGGGCACATGTGCCAAAGTGGCACACATGAAGGT